CTTCTTTCACAGTGGCATATAACTGCTTCTCCTCCAACCTTGATAACTCAAGTTCCTGATGCTCAACACGATCCTCTATACTCTTCGAATATATCAAAATATCATCGGTTAACACAATCATTGACTCACTCAATTTGTGAGTTATGGCGGAAACATGAATCGCACTTTCCGCACTCACTACAACATCCAAACGTATTCCATCAATAAATAACTTAATTCCATGTCACTACTTCACCATCACATAGAGCATTGTAATAGCTTCCAACGCTTCTAATCTGGCGTCATTCCGAGTTACGGTTCTCCCGTTACGACAACAATACGAAAACAACATCTTCACACTTAGAAGGCCATTCAACACATCTCCAACTCTTAAAATGTTTAAATGTCTAATTATACCAATATTGTATTCCACCTCTTACTTTAACAATCATCAGAAATCACCATCCACCTTTTCATACTCGACTTTGCAATCTGTTGCTGTAACACACACACCAGACACAAGTCTCAAAACTACTCAATCAATTTAATTCCTTGACCATCCAAATAGACATATAATTTGGAGCTCTCAATATCAGACTAGTTTCCGTAACTAATTCAACCACAACTCCACTTCACGTCCTGGCCATGTATCACCATCTTGTCAGGATAACTTTGAGACAACCACAATTAATCGACAACCCGCCAACTTCCCACTTTCATTAACACTCAAAATTCCCATCAAAATTAAACATCTCAACACTGTCTTGTGCCGACTCATCAAAACAATTCTTAAGCTCTGGATTTAACTCCAAACAATTCACTGCTCATGCCATCTAAGCTTGCAAGACACGTCTATCCCATCCAGCATAATCCCAACTACTATCAACAAGAGATTAAGGGTGATCAGTTCCTCAATTTGTTAATAGACAGTCGACAATCATGATGGGGTATAAACCATCTTTACCAAACTATAAGAGCGTTTAACCACACACTGAGCTACAACTCCACGCTTGCAGCATCCTGGTGAAGCACCAGCTTCTCCCCCACTTGAATCATTCCCACTTCTGCAGACAAATGTTAGACAACAAACACGTACCGACAGTGTTTTCACACACATGTCGCATACAGGGGAACAACCAACATTAGACAACTTGGCCGGATGGACCGACCTGCTCTGATACCACTAATGTAACACTCTTCTAAACCCCACGAAAAATATATGAATAATCAAAGTAAATTTTCATGCATTCACAAAAGGGCGTCAAACATAACTTTCGAAACATCAAAACCATCTGTCATACTCATTAACACTTATAATAAATAATCATGCTTCTCACAATTTCACTTTTCATGTAGTAGCGGATTCATTTTTATAATATAATTCTCTTAACAGAATATTCAGATTCATCACATACTTCAACATTATTTAGGCACCAAGGCCAACATCATAATATTCCAATGAATATAAAAACATCACATAGAATATATAATGTATGTCTAAAATATAAACCAAATGATCCCAGTGTTACATGACCAGAGCATGGCTCGACCCAAAACAATTAAATTACTAAATAGCTACACCAATAGCGACTTTCCAACTACAAGCAGCTCTACTCTTGATACCTGCACGATGCCAGATAGGACATCATTCCAGCAGAAGGGTGAGAAATATTATCATAATAACAATTCATATAATCATATATGTATACACAAGCATAGAACACAAATTTCCACATTTTTCTCACCACAAATTCATTATGATCATCATTTACCTCACAATGTTTATATAAACCAATATGGATAATCATCAAGCGTGTTCATCATACACACATCCATAATCCTCATCATTCCACATCAACATGCTCATATTATGTTTATTCACCAATTCACAGTTACACATTCACAATACAGATATAAACAGATATGGATAATTACCAAGCATATTTCGTCATGCCTACATCCAAAATTCTCAATCCAACAATTCACGCACATATGCATACTTTCATACAACAATCACATATTCATCATTCCCAATTACACAAGTCATGTACATACACATATGCATAACTTCATACAACGATCATATATGTACATTAACATAAAAATATGCATACATTACGATCTCACCATATTTTATCATAATTCACTCATATACATCGTAATATACATATGCACAATTTACATCATTACACGTAAACATACACATTCATGTTCCTTCACCACAATTCATCATGTAGTATATATATACACATATATATCTATAACACCAAGTATATTTATCATGCATATATCCACAGTTCACATCATTCCACGTAAACATTTACAATTATGTTTATTCATCCAATCAAAACTCTCATTCAACAATTCATACACATGCATACTTCCATATAAAAATGATATATGACATGTGACTCAATGCAACTCAATGCTATGTGGTACCAACACTTATTATCATTTTTCGGTTTTTACATTTAAATCGGGTCCGTCCTCTAGACCGATAACAACAAAAGTTCGTCCTCTAAGCTTTCAAACCCATTCTTCTAGGTTTGGGACAAGTCACTAGTCTCCACGAAACTAGCAAGCATTGGCTCTTGACCAAATGATGCGTATGCAATCAATAACCAAATGCACTTAAGACCGTTCTCGCATCTTAATCTCATGCATTCTCAAATAATTCATCACATAAGAATTATAACATGATTGCACACTCACACATCATATCAAAGTATTCATACTTTCAACATTATCACATTTATCAAGCAATGCACACATATTCACAATATGTTCTCATGCATTATTCACAATATTGCATACAATCAATATGCATTCACGATCCAATACCATCACCATATTTATCAAACAATGCACATATATTCACAATATGTTCTCATGCATTCTTCACATACAATCGCATACAATCAATATGCATTCACAATCCAATACCATCACCATATTTATCAAACAATGCACACATATTCACAATATGTTCCCATGCATTCTTCACAATCGATTCCATAATCTAGGATTCACGCCATACGACTACCCATAACATAACATATCACAACAGTACACAAACTATTCATTTCTGATAAGGATTGAACACAATCGAACCAAACAATCAACATTGGATGGAAACACAAAGAAATGAAAATGCTGTCACACTCGCTAGCTTGCTCGCCTAACGAGTTCCTAGCACACACTCGCTACCTGTTCGCCTAGCGAACAAGCTCGCGAAGGCAAACATAAGCTACTATAAGGCTTCGCTACCTACTCGCTGGGGCTTCGCCTAGCGAACCCCTCGCTACCTCGCTCGCTACCAGCAAAGAGGGTCAATTACATTCTGTCCAAGTCTGGGACCATTTGCTACTAACTCGCTACAGCGAACACTCGCGACCTGCTTGCCTAACAAAGGTGCTAGCGAAAGTCTGCGATGTTCAAAACCCCAACTATCCAAAACTCTCTGAAACTCCCAAAATCACCTGATTCAATTCCAACAAGTTCCAGTAGTCTTAGCCTAACCTTCCTCGACTAAACTATACCATTTATTCCAGGTTTTAACCGTTAAAATATCGATTCTACCGATTAAACTCATTCTGCCCTAGAATGGAAAAAGATGGAGAACCTCTCACAAATCCAAACACACACATACATAATCACATACATTGGTAAGATAACAATATTTCACACCCTTACCTTGATTCAATCGGAAGCTAGAAGTCGTTCAGATGATTCTAAGTTTTTCCTCTATTTTCTCCTCTTTTTTCTTCTTCCTTCTTTCTTTCTCTTCTTTTTCCTTTCTCTCCATTCTATCCTTTCTTTCCACTTTCTCTTATATATCCTTCTCTTTTATTTCTCCTTAATATATCTCATCTTATCATTAATTAGAGAAGATCTAGTAAATTCACCTTATTCTACCAAATAGAATAAATCAGTTAAATCCATTAACTCATATAAATTAAATAGATCCAATAACTCATTAAATCAATTAATTAGTACAAATAATCAATTATTGAAAATTGGGTTGTTACAATCACAGTTTCATCTCATACTTTTCAAAGAATACTTGTATATTTCTTTTGAGTGATATTTGTTTCAAGGAGAAGATCGATCGTGAAGATTGATAGCATTATACTCTCAAGACATCAAATTTATATCAATATTATCTTTTGTATTACCTTGTTGTCCAGGATTGTTGGAAACAAGTGAGTGTTTGAAGAGGATTGTTCTTCCTACACTTTAGTTACCTATAGATTAGATAGTAGGTTTCACCTTTGGCGTGATTAGGCTATACAATCATTCTAAACTATAGTGAAATCTCTTTCGAGTCGAAAGGGGAGTGAAGTACTCTCAGAGTGTGAGGGGAACCACTATAAATCTCTTGTGTCACTTTTTTCTTTCCGCACTTTACTTTCAAGTCCTTAACATCTTACCCTAAAAAGAATCAAGAATCAAAAAAAGATTGAAGATGATTTTTGAGAACCTAATTCACCCACCCCCTCTTAGACGCATTTACAAGTTACACAGATAAAACTTGGCTTCTGACTCTGCTTCCTAATTTCCTTTTTCTTATCAATTTCATTGAGATATGATTTTGAATATACACCCAATTCTTTCCGATGTAACTCAATTGATCAGGATCCTGCCTCCCCACCTTTTACTTCTACTGATCATTTTTGTAATATCTCTACATATTCTCCTTTGTGTATTAGTCCATATTCTTTCCTTAAGTGCCATACATCTCTAACAACATCTTTTGTTTCTCCTAATAGTATTTTCCAATTATTCATCTCTGATTTATTCATTATGGGATTTAAAATCAGAAATTAATATCTCTGATTTTTTGTTGTGTCAAGGCCGATCCGATATTTGTTTAGTTCAAGTGCCCTCCTCTCTCTGCTACTTTATTGATTTGTTGACTTGGACAAAGTAATTCTCCGACTCTTAAATTCCCATTGTCTTCGAGCTCCACAATATTTTTTCTTGTAAACCTCTTCTCACTCTTCTCAATCACAAGGAACTTCATGGCAACTATTGTTGCAGAAGCATTTCTATCAGCTTTTGTGGAAGTGTTACTAGAAAAGATGATTTCCCACGAGTTTATCGACTTCTTTAGACGCAAAAAGCTCGATGTTTCACTATTGGAAAAGCTAAAAACAACACTCTTGACTCTTCAATCAATACTAAATGATGCTGAGGAGAAACAGATCACAAATCATGCTGTCAAACAGTGGCTGGAGAATCTGAGAGATCTTGTCTTTCAAGCTGATGATTTGTTTGACAAAATCAACACACAGGCGTTAAGATGCAAAGTGAAAGCTGAATATCAAGGGAAAACAGTAAGTGCTAAGGTGAAAAGCATATTTTCTTTAAGTTTTTATGGAGTGATAAATTCTGAAATGCAAACACTATTGGAAAGATTGGAACATTTTGCACAAAAAGGACACATTCTAGGATTGAAAGAAAGTGTTTCGTGCAGTGTTTGGCATAGAACTCCAACAAGTTCTGTTGTAGATGAATCTACTATATATGGAAGAGATTGTGATCGAGAAAAACTTAAGGGTTATTTACTAGCAGAAAATGAGAGTGATGTTGGTAAAGAAATAGGAGTGATTTCCATTGTAGGCATGGGAGGGATTGGTAAAACAACCCTTGCAAAACTGCTATACAATGATTCAGAAGTAAACGAGAAATTTGATTTGAAAGGATGGGCATATATATCAAAAGATTTTGATATTGTTCAAGTCACTAAAACTCTTGTTGAATCGGTTACTTCAAAAACAAATGATACTACTAACCTAAATACTCCGCATGCTGAATTTGTCACCTCAAGAAGAATTGATACCAGTGACCTGAATACGCTACAACTGCAATTGAAGCAAAGTTTAAACCATAAGAAATTTTTGCTTGTATTGGATGACATATGGGATCGGCGCTATATTGATTGGAACAATCTAAAGGACATCTTTAATGCCGGGAAAATTGGAAGTAAGCTCATCATCACAACACGAGATGAGAGAGTTGCGCTGGCCGTGCAAACCTTTCTTCCGATTCACCATTTGACACCTCTGGGAAGAGATGAGTGCTGGTCTTTACTTGCCAAACATGCATTTGGAGCATGTAATTTCCAGCAACGGTCCAACCTAGAGGTGATTGGCAAAGAAATCGCTAAGAAATGTGATGGCTTACCATTAGCTGCAGTAGCAATTGGGGGTCTTCTTCGCATTAAATCGTCAGAGGATGACTGGAATAATGTATTAAAAAGTAATGTTTGGAGTTTGGAAAATGTTGAGGTGCAACCAGCTATGTTTCTGAGCTATCATTATCTTCCAGCTCCTTTAAAACGGTGTTTTGCTTATTGTTCAATTTTCCCCAAGAGCTCCAAGTTGAAAAAAAAGACGGTAGTTGAGTTGTGGGTCGCAGAAGGCTTAGTACGTCAGTCTAGAAGTCAGAAAAGTTGGGAAAAGATAGGAGAGGAATACTTTGATGAACTTTTGTCAAGGTCACTAATACATCGACGATTTGATGATGGGAAAGTAAGCTTTGAAATGCACGACCTCATTCACGATTTAGCTACAATGGTTTCATATCCGTATTGTATCATGTTGGATGAAGAAGAGCTGCATGAAAGGGTGCGCCATTTGTCATTCAATAGAGGGAAATATGACTCGTACAATAAATTTAAAAAATTGTGTGGACTAAAAGGTTTGCGCACCTTCCTGGCCTTACCATTACAAGTATCATCACATTCTTGTTCCTTATCAAACAAGGTAGTGCACGACTTTTTGCCGAGAATGAAACAGTTACGTGTTTTGTCTATGCTAAACTACAAGAACATCACTGAGTTGCCCGACTCTATTGGAAATTTGATATACCTGCGTTACTTGAATCTCTCTTACACCGAGATTGAAAGGTTGCCTTCTGCAACATGCAAACTTTACAATCTGCAAACCTTGTTGTTGTTTCAGTGTGGGAATCTCGCTGAATTGCCTAAGGACATGGGAAAACTGATGAATCTGCGCCACCTTGACATCAGAAACACTTCATTGAAGGAGTTGCCTGTACAAATTACAAAACTAACAAATCTGCAAACTCTGTCTAACTTCGTTGTCAGCAAACAACACGATGGGTTGAAAATTGCAGAGCTGGGAAAATTTCCTGATCTACATGGGAGTCTTTACATCTCAAAGCTACAAAATGTTACGGAGCCCTGGGATGCCTTTCATGCAAATTTGAAGCTGAAAGAAAAAATTGATGATTTGGTACTACTATGGGAAACACAAGGCACTACGACTCAAGGTTCACAAATTCAAAGTTCTGTACTAGAGCAACTGCGACCCTCCACAAATTTGAAGTATCTCGGAATTTATGGATATGGTGGAACCAACTTTCCGAAATGGTTGGGCGATTCTTCCTTTGGTAACATGGTGACTATGACCATTGGGAATTGTTACCGTTGCTCACTAATGCCACCCCTTGGAAAATTACATTGTCTGAAAGCACTCCGCATTTATGGGATGGAATCTATAAAGAGTGTTGGTGTTGAATTCTATGGAAGTAGTTATCCTTCATTCCAACCTTTCCCTTCTTTAGAGAGACTAGAATTTAGGGACATGCCAGAATGGGAGGAATGGAACTTGATTGCAGGTACAACTATGGAGTTTCCGAGTCTAAAATATCTATCAGTGGATAGATGTCCAAAACTCAAAGGAAACATACCAAGCACACTTCCATCCTTAACAGAACTTCACTTAAGCAAATGTGATCTAATGTTGAAACCAAGGCATTCAGAAGATAATAGTAACACTATTTTAAGGCCTTCAAATGTATTCAGCCAGTTGATGCTTCCTCTCAATTCTCTTCAAAAGTTGACACTAGACCGGCTTTCCTCTCTGACATCCTTCCCAAGAGACGGTCTACCCAAAACATTACTGTCTCTATCTCTACATTATTGTGAGAATCTAGAATTCCTCTCTCACGAGTCCTTGCACAATTACACATCACTTGAGCAACTGTCGATTGAATACAGTTGTAATTCAATGACGTCCTTTACCTTGGGCTCTCTCCCGATGCTTAAAAGCCTGTATATTAAAGGTTGCCAAAATCTCAAATCGATGTTCATTGCAAAAGATGCATCAAAGAGCCTCTCATTTATACAAAGTATCCAAATACGGTGTTGTGATGAATTGGAATCATTTTTCCCCGATGGATTGTCCACTCCTAACCTCATTTGTTTGGGCGTGTATGGGTGTAACAAGCTTCTTTCACTACCAGAACCAATGAGCGCTCTTGATAGTCTTCAAGAATTGAGAGTTTTCAACCTTCCAAATCTGCAACACTTTTCCACAGAGGGATTACCTGTCAATTTACGGAAACTTTCTGTCGGCGGGATTCTGTGGAATATAAAGTGTAGTTTGGAAGGTATGAATAATCTTTCTGTTTTGGAAATTGGAGGTTGTGACATCGTGAATAAGCTGATGAGAATGGAAATGTCATTGCTACCTTCTTGTCTCATGTCTTTACACATCTACCAACTTGATGATATAGAATGTTTGGACGGAAAGTGGCTCCACCATCTTACTGCTCTCCAAGACCTTGAGATTTCAGATGCTCCAAAGCTCAAATCATTGCCAGAAGAAGGGCTTCCTTCCTCTCTTTCCTCAGTGAATATCTCTGACTGTCCATTGTTGGAAGCAACTTGGCGGACGAAGAAAGGAAAAGAGTGGCGTAAAATATCCCGTATTCCATGCATACTTATCAACTACAAAATGATCTCATAAGTGTCAAGGTGAGTCACAATTACTATATACTACTACTACTATCTTTTGGTACAGCGTATTGGTGTGTGATAGTCTCGAGGTATTAGTATGACGCTTCATGCCGCCATTGAATGTGTGATCAAATTCAATCTATGTAGAGCCTGCAATACCAAATCAATAAAGCAGTTCATTATGTATTACATCAAATTAAATGACATTGAAATCTACTTGTACATGAACTATTAATGTGTGTTGTATGCTACAATGTTTCCGCGATTTTAAATCGTGTTTGCAGAGATTTAGATTTCAATCGCTATTTCTACTAGCAAGCTTCTAGTTCCGTTTTCCAAAATGGTTTTTATTGATGGAACTCGTGTTAGTAATACATAGAAGAAGCTAACTTTAATAAAATCAACTAATTCAACTTCACATGCGCAACAAAGGTCATGGAGCCTCAGATTTGCTTGATGTTCCGTTACGCCTTGAAGATGTCCGATTGTGCAGCAAAGTCATTGAGTTGTCTGCATAAACTGAAAGACATAGTGAAGTGAAATAAAAAGGTTAAACCATTAGGAAACATATGGCTAAGTACTTTACATATACATAGTTCTCCACTAGCTTGGTTCAATATGTCTTTAAAAATATGTTACTTAAATGTCTTTGTTCATCCATTCCTTTTCTAGCTCATGTTACCATTGATCCTTGTTAGCATATAATCAATTTGAAACCATTGATACTTGTTAGCATATAATTAATTGAAAAGAAAAAAGTAGTAAACACTGTAGAAACTGCTATGCTTTTTGAAACATAGATACAATGGTAGTAGCATATTTAATAAATTAAATAGTCACGGTGATATTCTTAAAAACTTTTAAAACATGTTTATGCAACACCACTTAGAACGACTTCTTCAGTGGCATCGTTGGCACTGATCGCAACGATTCCATTCCAGGGGGCAACACCCCCACCGCGGGCAGGAAATTCTATTAATAATCCTGCATTTACGAGACCTTTGTTTGGGCTCTCAATGACGCCGCGTGGCAAAGATTACCCTTATGGTATATCAAAACGTCTATGATGACTAACCTACACTTGAATATGTCAACCTTCAGTGGCAATGTGATGGCCACATGGCCACTATATAATCCCTATAACGCCTCAGCGTCAACCATCAATAATATGGCACGACCAGAATGGATAAGTTATATCCCTCATAATACGTCGTCTTTGAATACAACTTCTATGATGGCTACGAGGCAACAGATGGATGAGAGCAATTTGAAGTTAGTGAATACTCTCACCCAACAAATGGAAACTATTTTAAACTCGTTGATTACCAATACAAACCAAACTTATGAAGTATTAGCGAATAAAATGGGGCGCATACTTGATTTCTTTGGCACGCGGCAAATGCAATTTCGACCAACTCTACAGATATCTAATGTTAGGGCAGTCGAAACTCCCTGAGGATGCTACAGTACATGCTACTGTGGCCCAAAATCAAGGGTTGCAATAGGAACCTCCCTTGAACAAAGCAACCCTAGACCTCTAATAGTTCAGAAAAATTAGAATGCGGGCCAAGTACTCAAACAAGTCCAACAAAAATAATTTTGCAAGGCAACATAATATAGAAAATGTGGTCGAACAATTTTTCGCCAAAAATGGCCTTAATGTGAGACTCTATCAACCGAACTTTGTCTCCCCATTGTCGGAATACGTTCGACAGTCAGAGTTACCTAAAGGATTAAAGGTCCCAAATTTTACTAAGTTCGTTGGAGACACGAATGAGTCGACGGTAGAACATGTCATCCAACATCAAACTGAGGCTGATGATTTAGCAAATAACAAGAATCTGAAGTTGAAGCACTTCCCAAGTTCTCTAACCAAGAACGTCTTTACTAGGTTTACAACTCTCCCTCTCCAGTCTGTCTAATCATGGAGTCAGTTAGAAATGTTCTTCCATGAACAGTTCTATATGGGGTCGTGGAAGATTAGATTTAAAGAGTTAGTAAGTATTAGGCGAAAGGTCCCTGAGTCGATAGAAGACTATCTGAATAGGTTCAGACTTCTCAAAGTCAGGTGTTTCACCCACGTGCCCAAGCATTAGTTAGTTGAGATGGTCGTGGGTGACCTGGACTATTCCATTTGGAAGAAGCGGGATACTCAATACTTAAGGGACATGGTGGAACTTGCAGATAGGGAGGTCAAGTCGAACGCTTAAAAGCTGAGAAAGCCAGAACTAGTAAATGCCACAAAAAGGAGAAAGTTGCTTACATAGATGCAGACAGATATGTCTCTGATGTGGTTGATGAGTGTTCAGAGGAAAATGAGGTCAATGTGGATGAATTAAAACCAGGACCCCCTTATGTTTGTAAACTATTAAAACCATCTAATGAAAAAAATCCTGTCGAAACTAACAAAAACGAAAAGTTTGCTACTAGAACTTATACTTTAGACATTACGAAATGTGATGAGATTTTTTATTTTTTAGTTAAAGATGGTCAGATTTTAGTACCTACTGGTTTAAAAATTCCGCAGTTAGAAGAAAGGAAGAAGAGAGGTTTTTTGCAAATGTCATAATTTCTTGGGTCATAAGACTTCTCAATATGTTCTTTTCAGGGATTTACTTCAAAAGGCTCTGAATGATGGAAGATTGCAATTTTGCGAGAGACCAAAATCAACGATGAAAGTGGACTTGGACCCTATGTAAATGGAGGAAGCCCACTATGCTAAAACTATAGAGATCTTGATGGTGGATGCTACTGATGTTGGTGTAAGCCCTAGAGGCCAATACTTTTTGGTACTTGTATCAGATTATTCGCTTAATAATAAAAGGCATTTCTTTATTATGTTTGTCTTTCAGAATAATAAAGTCCCTAGAATAGTTAGTCTGTTTAATGAAATGTTAAGTGTGACTTAATCATGAGATCCCATTAAACATAAAGACATTATTCTTAAAATATCCGTAGTCAAGCTTTATTGCAAAGTGGGATAACATTAAAAGCATTGAGACTATTATGAAGATAGACTGATGATCACATCTCATGGATCATGGATAAAGAGTTATCAAGTCTTGACATAGGTATAAATATTAGGAGTAATATTTATACCGGATTGACCCGCTATGAGAATACTACATAGTATGTTATGCAAAGTGTCATAAGTTATTCTCATGGTGATAATGGTGTATTACCACCCTTCGACCTGAAACCACTATGGACCCTAGATGTAGAGTCGGGTGCTTTATTGCTGATCAAACATTATCCGTAACTGGATGATCATAAAGACAGTTGATGGGCACTCCACGAAGCATGCTGAGGGACATGAGTGTCCTAGATGGAATTTGCCAATCCTGCATAACAGGAGAAATGTCTAAGGGCCCAATATTGAACTGGACAAGGATGACACAGTGTATGCCTTGTGTTCAATATAGACATAGGGGCAAAAGGGTAATTGTACAAACATATATTATCACGAAAAAGGTTTTGTCAGATCACATGACATTTTCGTGACTTGGGTAGCAGTGATGTGTTGCTAGATACCGCTTACTGTTTATTATGTTAAATATATATAATTTAATATAATTACCAACGTTACGAAATCCTACAGGGTCACACACATAAGGACAGTTTGATGAGAGATAGAGAAATCAAAGGAACACCGTAAGGTACGGTGCACTTAAGTGAAAAATAGAAATTCGGATAATATAATAATAATTATTGTTATTTTATAATGGTTATAAAATAATAATAAAATAAATATATTTATTATAATAATAGTTATTATAATAATATATAATATTATTATGGATCATGTGAATTGGGTTTTAGCCCGCAGCCCACAAGAGAGTCTATAAAAGGAACCCTTGTGATGAAGCTTTCACTTGATGCAATTTCGTTTTGATTCTCTTTTCTCACTCAAATAATTCCGTTCGTAAGCAGCTAGCACTGTGACCGGAAGCTGTTCGTGTGGACTGAGTAGAGGCGTTGCACTTCATCAACGCTTGTGATCGCTGCATCAAAGATCTGAATCGCCACAAAGAGGTAACGATTCTATCACTGACCATGCTCATTCGTGAGGATCACTAAAGGAAAAATTTTGTTTTCCGCTGCGTTTAGATCGCAATTTTCCTTCAGTGGTATCAGAGCCACTTACGAAACCATGGATCTGATAGCTGTTAAATTTCCGTCTTTTCTGTATTTGATTCGATTAAAACACAGAATGAATTTAACAATAAACGATTAATTAAATTTGGCATCTGTTGTGTACGATTTGGATGATTGATGTTGATTATGCTTCGGAATCCGACATTAGTATGGTGAAGTTGTGCGATACATTGATCATCCATAGGTTACACAATTAGATCGATCACTTTTATATAAGATATAAGAAATTCTGATGCAAAGATGGTATATGGGATATACTGTTTTGATTTCATCCATTCAATCACATAAGGATTGTAATTCTTTTGAAAGATCATCACTTTCATTCGCTTCGGAATCCGACATTAGTATGGTGAAGCAATGACATATTGATCTATCATATTGAGTTATCAATCGAGTTGTGTTTGACGGCATGAAATTGTTGCATTAGGATTAATGGCAGTACAAGTGTTGTATTGCCGCAGACTTTTCCGGTTGGGGTTGTAAATGCACAAAAGTTGTGCAGGAAACGACGTGAAATACAATGAAGTGTTCATAAAATTTTTCGCCGGGGCGCTGCCCCTGACGACCCCGCAAGGAGGCGCTGCCCCCTTGACCCCCGTCCGCTGAACGGTCAGCGGAACCACCGTCCGCTGACCGGGCAGCGGAACCCCCGGCTAAGTCTGCAAAGTGTGATCAATCAGCCGAAATTTAATTTAGTTTATTTAATTATCGGAATTTTAAACTAATAATAAAAGTGTGTTTATTATTATTTATTTGTGGTGATCAGTTATGGCCTTAGTTTTTCCTTTATTATTGTTTTGGGATTTTTGAATACGGCCTGCGTGTCGTGCCTCTCTCTCAATCTCTTTATGTAAC